TTAGATACATAATGCTGCAGTGGTGAAAAGGATGAATTCTTTGTGGGTTTTATCTTCCTTGGTCACTGTGAGAATGTTCTGCTCAACAGAGGAAAAAATAGGTCATGCTTTACGTGTGGCATTGTTGTAGCAATGTCAGAAGTTTGAAATAAATCCTGTTTGGCTGCTGTACATTACTAAACCTGTTCGTGATGGCAATTATGCCAGAACAGTTGATTGTAAATAAACCTGCTTTGCCGGTGATGCTTTGTGAAACTCTCTTCATGAAGAATTGGAGCGTGTGATGAAAACCAGCATGCGACCAAGAACATTTTGTGATATTGTCCTTCTGATGCTGTAAATCTTCAAAGTGCTTGCGATCATATATGTTTGCCATGCCATGCTCGTTGTGTGTAGAAAGCTCATAGAATAGAAGGTTAAACTATTTTTCCCATGTATCGCAAGGACACACAACATTTGTTAGGCCAAGGACTGTTTGAGAGCTGTTATGTTAGTGCGGTGAAGCTTGTACTCTAACAAGGAGATGGGTATAAGGCAAAGAAACAGTTGGGACCGAGATAAATACAACATTGATATTGATGTAATTTATGTTTGCTTGTACAGTATTTACTTAATATAGTCTAATAATGATCACTATAAGTACCCAACATATAGTTTCCCTTCCAGTCATTAAAATTACAATTCTATAACAATTTTTGGAGGGGCTCTGAAAGCCATGTTTGGAGGTCAGGTTCTGCATCCTTGGCTTAGTCCAATTCTGGTTTTCTCTAGATGTTTTAGACTACAGTTCCCATTATCTCCAGCTAGCAAAAGCATTGCCCAAGGATAGCTGAGATGACTGAAACCAGTCCAATAGATTTGGAGAATGTGAAGCTGGAGAACCCAGAACCAAAGTCTATCTCATGAAAGGAAGAGAAAATGATTCCTGATCCAGAAAATTTTTCTTGTAACAGGAAAGATTCTACAGCAAACTGTATAGCCCTATGCTATTGGAGCAAATGCCACATTTCAAATAATTTTCTCTGTAGCAGTGTAGGTATGCCACTGAGCAGTATGCCACTGAGCAGTAACGATACAATCCTCAAAGAGATTACTCTTGAAATAGGAGGCAGCCCCTAGAAACTTGGGTAATTAAAAAAAAAAATCTAAGAGTTGGTTGTAAGTTGGGAAACTACCAGACAATTCCAAGTTCTAGAATGGACTGAGAAATTGAAAAAAAAATAAATCTCAGAAGTAGGGCAGTAGCAAATCATTTCTGTATTATCCAAGAAACCTACATGAATGTGACTGTACTGTCACTTGCAATTGAGCAACTGAATTTGCTTCAAGGAAGTCATATCTACCTCCTACGAACAACCTGCTATAGCAGATTAAAGGTAGATACTGTATAATGCAGTACTAGAATGAAGCACATGAGACTTCTTAGATAATTGTAAATTAATATTGTAGTAACTATTTTCTTTGATTAAATACGTTGCTGCAAATTTGACTCTTTTCTTGGGGTGGGTGTTATGGAATAATTTTACTTTACAGAAAGCTGCTGGACTGGATACTTTAGAGGCCCCTATGGCTGTGTATGATGAAGACCTCTTGAGGAACCCTTTCTATTTGGCCATGCAGAAACGACGTCCTGATCTCTGCCGGAAAGTTGCAGAACTCCATGGAACTGTAAGTAAATTGTGATGGTTCCTAATATTCTCCTCTAGAGGGACCAAGAGTGAGCATAGGGTTCATCTAGGGCAGTGTTTCTCAACCTTAGCAACCTTAAGATGTGTGGACTTCAACTCCCAGAATTCCCAGCCAGCATGGAGACTGATCTAGGGACAAGCTTATTTAAAACAGTTATGTACAAATGTCAAAAGGGTACTGGGTCTGATTCTCCATGGTGAAAGTACTGGGCATGCAGCTACTACATGTAATTGAGGTATCACAAAAAGGGGTGTTGAACATCGCTTCTATGATGGGAATAATTTGAGAAGTTTCTTTAGCAGCTCACTTATGCAACAACTAAACGGTATAAGATTAATTCAGTACAGTATAATCTGAAATTGTTTTTCAACCTTGGCAACTTTTAAGATGCGTGGACCTCAACTCCCGGAATTCCCCAGCCAACTCGCCATTCTGGGAGTTGACGTCCACACATCTTAAAAGTTGTCAAGGTTGAAAAACACTGATCTAAAAGATTCTATTCCTTAGTGCTCTTGTGTTTAGTTCACCTTGGAGAACATGAAACTCAACCTTTTGATGAAATTGGAGATAAAGTAGATAAGTAGGTACTAGCCCTGCTTGTTTTTCATAGTTTGATTTCTAATACTGTACTGTGGTTAGCAAAAATGTGATGGGATTTGGGATCCAGCTTGGTATATAGTATATACACTGATCCCCTGTAACTCTTTTTCTAGATACTGGTACCTTGTAAAGGCAGCCTTTCCAACAGTGTCATTTCAGCTTGCCAGTTCGACTCTTACGTTCTCAAAGCAGCAGACAACAACTTTCACACTTTGAATGGAAAGGTACAGGCAGTATAAATAATGGGGGCCAGTCCAGATTTGGATTAACAGTGTTTCTGTAGTCTCATGTCGAATAAATGGGCTGTAAACAAATTCAGCTGTAATGCTCAGAGAAATGTGATAAATTAGTAAGATTCTACTGCAGAGGTTATCTTAATCTGTTCAGGCTGCAGGCTTCATTAATCTGTTTGTGTGCGGACGTGGTTGTGTGCAAGGATGGTAAAATCCTGATTGCCAGGGCTAACGTATTTGAGCTGCAAAATTCTGGAGGTCCATGAGATGGCAGAAATGCATGTTTTGCTGCATGTAGCGTCTCTCTGAATAATTGCAGACCAGGTATGATAGCCATAGTGATTTCAATCTTCTTAACCAAAATCTAATGAGATTTTAGCTTTTTTTCCCCTTTCCTCATAAGAGTAGATGATCTTATGGGATTTGGCTATTTTTAAATCTTAATTTAATTTTGGACATTTATAGATACTGTTCAGGGAATATTGTTGATGCCTGGGAGCCTACAGGTCCTGTGTTGCTTATGGTGGTGGTCCTACTGTTCGCCCTGTTCTGTTTTTGAGTTTTTCCTTTGTTTCTCTCTTTCCCCATTTAGGAAATCTTTATACAAGGAAACATGATCATCCTTGGGGGCGAATTTAACCAGCATTGCTCAATACCTATTCTCTTTGAGGAAACGTTTTATAATGACAGGGAAGAGAGCTTTAACATCCTTTGTATAGCTCATCCTCTAGAGAAAAATGAAAGTAAAGGTAAAGATTATTGTTTTTCTCAGTATTGACAATAGATGCTTGGTTAGTTTTTGAACTGCTGATCTCTGCATGAGTAAACTGCTTTTTTAGCTTGACAGGGAATAATGAAAATGTTTAATGAATCTGCAGGAGTGAAGCTTAAAGCCTCTTTGCACACTTGTGAGAAACAATTTATTTGCAGCTAGGTTCACCCGTTGCATTAGACCATAATATGGTTTCTTCTGCTTGGCATCTTGTATGAACCCAGTCGTCATGCTTTCTAAATGTTGTCTGTGGTGCTGTGGAAATCCAGCTAAGTGTGGCTTAATCAACAAATCATGTTTAAGCAAACCATGACTTTGTATAATGTGTGAACAGGTCATGAGGCAAGTGGGAAGGACTTTCCCGACTCCAGGAAGGAGTTTGGCAGTAGAACCATCCTAGTTTCTTAGCCCTTCTTGTATGTCTGCCTCTGTAAATGCCTCTGTGTGAATTGACCTCAGATTCTTGGAGGAACCAGGGATGTTTCTGTCCGCTGACAAGTGCCTTCCCATTTCAGAACCGTCCTCAACGGCATCCCACTGTTACTCCTTGAAAAACATTGAAGATGTGAAAGAATTCTTGGGAAGGCATGCAGAAAAATTTGATAAAGCTATTGCATCTTTCCACAGGACTTTCAAGGAGCATGACAGGAAAATCCTGCGACACTATATAGTTAGTATTTCCACTTCCAATGGATGTAATGCTTAACTGCATATGACAAGTGCTGTCATTAAATTAAAATTTTCCCCAATCTCTTCTGTGGGGAGGAGTCTTGTTGAGATTCTGGCCATGTCATATGCGTGTCACCTAAAGTATGCTGCTTGATTCAGAAACGAATTAGTCATATGCTGGCTTGTGTAAATAGAATGATACACTAAGACATTTGAGAACTGTTTTAATTGGGGTGCAGCTTTAGGTATTGCCCTCTCATTTATTGCCCCAATATTTCATATTTGAGAGTGCCTCGGATGTATTACTGAATAATGTGCCCAGCAGCAACATTCTTTAACGACTGTCCTCCCACTCTACTTAATTAATCAAATGAAATTTGCCTGGTATTTTTAAATGCTTGACTATTTCTGCCCCCACCCCTCCAATTTTCTCAAATGCTTGTGTAAATAGAATGATACACTAAGACATTTGAGAACTGTTTTAATTGGGGTGCAGCTTTAGGTATTGCCCTCTCATTTATTGCCCCAATATTTCATATTTGAGAGTGCCTCGGATGTATTACTGAATAATGTGCCCAGCAGCAACATTCTTTAACGACTGTCCTCCCACTCTACTTAATTAATCAAATGAAATTTGCCTGGTATTTTTAAATGCTTGACTCTTTCTGCCCCCACCCCTCCAATTTTCTCAAATGCCTTTAATGTACTTTGTTTTGATCTTAA